CATGAATATATAAACAATGAAAATGTAAAAGAAACAAAATAAAGAAACTATCATATTTATCATTATAAAACTGAAGAAAAACAAAATAACGGTAAAATATACCATTTTAGTAAAATATCGTCCTTGCTTAGATTACTTTATTTGCACAAAATTCAACCATTGCAACAAATATCGCTTTCTTTATGATAAGCATTTGATAACATTTTAAGTTTAATATCTCAAACTATATTTATAGCGTTTGATCACCTTAAATGTTATATAACAAAATAGCATGTCTCACATTGTACTGGAAAGAATTTAAATTAAACATAAATATTTTGATAAAGTAAATAAGCCTCCGATCATTATAGAGACCATGCGCGTCAGTTTGGTTGGAAGTTGGTAGTTGGATATTCACAATGTCTTATTATTATTCATTTGACAGTTGTGATTGATATACTGTAAATGTTAAAAAATAGAATTTTTCATGTTTTTTCGCGGTAATTGAACAAAATGATATATGGAAAAAAAATGAAGGATTGTAACAATAAGAGGTTATTTCAAATTTTTGCTGAATACTGTAAAGATATTAATCTCTACCATAGTTTATCAACTCAAGAGCACTTAAAATAATTACTTTGTGAATTCTTATGAAAATGGGCCTCGTTATAATGTTATATATCGTAGATTGGGTTGATTGGTATTTTAATATTGTAATACATCGTACATTAGGTTGGTTGGTGTCGTAATAATGTAATACATCGTAGATTAGGTAGATTGGTGTCGTAATATTGTAATGCATCGTAATTTGGTAGATTAGTATCGTAATAATGTAATACATCGTAGATCAGATAGATTGGTTACAAGTTATGCATCGTAGATTAGGAAGATTGGTCTCGTAATAATGTAATGCATCGTTAATTAGGTTGATTTGTATCGTAAAAATGTAATACATCGTTGATCATGTAGATTGGTATCGTTACAATGTAATACATCGTAGATTAGGAAGATTGGCCTCGTAATAATGTAATGCATCGTTAATTAGGTTGATTTGTATCGTAATAATTTAATACATCGTTGAGCATGTAGATTGGTATCGTAACAATGTAATACATTGTAGATTAGGAAGATTGGTACCGTAATAATGTAAAACATTGTAGATCAGATAGATTGGTATCGTTACAAGTTATACATCGTAGATCAGGAAGATTGGTCTAGTAATAATGTAATGCATCGTAGATTAGATAAATTGTTCTCGTGCTAATGTAATGCATCGTAGACAAGGTTGATTGGTGTCGTAATGATGTAATTTATCGTAGAAAAGGTATAATGGTACCGTTACAATGTTATACATCGTAAATTAGGAAGATTGGACTCGTTATAATGTAACAGTTACATATTTCAAATATTTGTTTACATATCGATGATAATGTGTGTTTTGAAAAGAAACTTATTGCTGAATCATTTAACAAATTTTATACAACAGTTGCATGTAAACTTGTTGAAAAGTTGCCAGAAAGTATGCATAAATTTGGTACGAATTTTGTTTTTGTTTTTATGCAAATAAGGGTATTTTTGCAAACGGTTTTTCTTTTTCCATTGTTTCTGAAAGTAAAGTTCTTAAATAGTTAGCTTCATTAGGTGTCAAAAAAGCTACTGGCTTAGATGGTATACCTTCACGTTTTATCAGAGATGGATCCCCAGAACTTTTTCCTTATACAAGGTCAAGTCCCTGATGATCTTAAATCTGCAAGAGTTGTTCCCCTCTATAAAAAAAACGACAAATTGTCTGTTGGTAATTACCGGCCTGTGTCCATTTTAAATGTTGTATCTAAAATCCTTGAAAAGGTGGTTTATGACCAGGTTGAAGCTTATTTTAAGAATAAAGATCTGCTGTATAAATTTCAATCAGATTTCAGGAGTGGCTTCTCTTCTGATACTTGTCTGATTCACCTTACAGACTTTATCAGGTTTGAAAACGATAAAGGTAATGTTGTTGGTATGGTGCTGCTGGATTTGCAGAAAGCGTTGGACACAGTCGACCATTCCATTCTTTTAATGAAACTGCAAGCATCAGGTCTTAGTATTGACGTCCTAAATTGGTTCAAATCATATTTATCAGATAGACAGCAGCTTGTAGATGTCTTTGGTACTTATTCTTCCAATTCCAAAATAACATGTGGTGTTCCTCAGGGCTTAATCCTTGAACCCCTTCTCTTTTTAATTTATGTAAATGATATGTCAACTGTGGTCAAAAATAAATTGCTTTTGTATGCTGATGATTCTGGTATCCTTGTATCTGGTAAAAAATTATCTGTTGTTGAAAAGGCATTGGCAGATGATATGGATTTGGTCAGCCATTGGTTAGTGGACAATAAGTTGTCATTGCACTTGGGTAAAACCGAGTTAATTTTATTTGGGTCCAGGCAAAAGCTCATGTCATAATCTAACCTGCATATAACCTGTTCTGGTACACCCATTGAATCAACTTCATCTATCAAGTATCTTGGGATTACTATAGACCAAAATCTGTCATTTTGCGCCATGGCCGAGTCTGTTCTTAAGAAGGCAAACTCTCGGTTAAAATTCCTTTACCGCAAGAAAGAGTTTCTTACTCAGCATACCAAGAAACGTCTGGTTATGTCTCTTATTCAGTGTCACTATGATAACGCATGCTCTGTTTGGTATAATAGTTTGACACAGCCTTTTAAAAATAAGTTACAAACTTGTCAAAATAAAATAATGAGATTTGTACTTGACTTGGATTCCAGAGCCCATATTGACCCATCCCACTTTAAGTCCCCTAACTGGTTACCGGTCAACAGAAGAGTTGAACAGATAATGTTATGTCATGTTTTTAAGATAAAAAATTGGCCTGTCTCCGGATTACATGTCTGAACACTTTATTTCGTAAGATTCCGTACATAATTATAGTACAAGACTTAGTCAAAAGGGTGGGTATTGTCTACCTAAGGTCAAAGGTCAGGGTTCTAAATCCTTTGCTTTCTCTGGTATTAAATTATGGAATGATTTACCTGTAGAGTTAACGGAGATCAACAGGTTAAAAAGTTTTAAGGTTGCCATCAAAAGTCATCTTATGAACAGTATTTAATTTTTTTTTACTATGTTTTTACATATTTCGGCTCAGGATTTTAAATTGTCTGTTGTTTTTTTTACAATTTAAGTAATGTGTTTTAAATCCTAGCTGTAAACAGGATTATAGCATAAAATCGGCTATTTTTCCCTCTTTTGCCCATGTTATAACGAGACCAAAACCATGTGTTAACATAGTCACGCGCTCTTGTTATAGCCCGGTTTCACCTATGCGCAATACATACAGGGCCCAGTAAACAAACAAACAAAAAATGACGATTTGGCCTGTTTGCCGAAGAGTCATTATTGAAATTTATTGATTCGAGGGCCTCAGTCGGGCATATTCAAGTAACTATGCCGGAAAAACGGCGTATAGACATCGGTGCTAATCTTGGTTGTCGCCCTTTCTAAGAAACGGACAGTTGTCAATGTAAACAAATACAGTATCTACCTGTCATTCAGTTTAACACTCCGATTAACTTACAAAACTAGATAACACAAAATTAATATGGGAAAATGTTTTTTATTTATGTTAATGTTGATAAATGCTCTTTATATTTCTTTGAGAGAATAATGCTAAGTGCCTGATTTTTTTATAAACTTGTTTGCTTGAAAAAAAAACCGATTCTGATAATACTGATGTCACTGATCTTTTTTCTACCGTCAATCTGAAATCATTCAAAGAATTTCTGAGGGTCATGTTTTGTCTTGGGTAGAGGGTAGAGTAATGTAACGTTTTTTTTTCTTGAGATAATAAATCTCCAAAGGCCAAGCTTTGTTAAATCAATTAAAATTCAAAATTTCGTTCGGTTCCGAGAATTTTCCAAGTTGTTGGCCCCGGAAAAATGAAACGCATACGTGAAACATAGAATTGGATAAATACCGTCCAAGCACAAGAATTTAATGTAATTGTGTTTTGTGTAAACTATACATCACGAATCTGTTTGAAAATTTTATGCTATAATAGCGTCAACGCACGTTTATTTCGTGTTATAAAGTCTGCAGAGTCCCTCGGAACTGTTGGAGCCCTCGCCCTACCGGGCTCGGGCACCAACCGTTCCTCGGGACTCTGCAGACGTTATAACACGGAAAAACGTGCGTTAACCCTATAGTATCATTAACTCAAGATTTGACTGTGATATACATTTTTATGATTTATTAGTATTTTTAAACATGATTATATTTAGGTCTGCCTCTCTATGTCATGCCGCCAATACAAAGGACCACAATGGAAATAAGAGCTTTTTTGCCCTTTTTTGTGTTATTCTTGGTTTTGGTGAGCATGTCATAGTTTTCTCGTATGGGATATAGTATTTAATAATGCTCATTATTTTATCCTATGTTATATTGTCAACTATGTATATGCTTCCTTTGCCGAAATAAATCTATCTATCTATACATTTTAAATAAAAAATAGATCTCATAGAAATGTTTCAGTTATACATCTTAAATGAGGAAGACTGATCTAGTAGTTATTGAACAGAAATGAATCTTAAAAAGGAAGATTGGCCTCATGGTAAGTTAGTTATACATCTCAAATAAGTTTAAGATGTCTCGTATTAATTTTAAACATATTTACCTAAACTAAAGAGGCTTGCCTCATAATGTTAAACCCTCTGAACCCCTTTATTGTGGTCACATAATTATATTATGCATTTTCCTCCTAATAGATTTGTCTCGTTTTTTGTTATACATTTGTAATTTCTCTATATAGTCGGACTTCCTTAATCAGGTAGGAAGGCCTCGTGATAATGATTTAAATGATATCACGTATACGGGGCTTTAAGTAAACAAATACAATATAAATTCTATAAAACGGACTCAATGTAAAGATCTTCATATTATCAAATGACAACAAGTACATTAAATTAATCAATATTGATTTTCTCACATACTGAAAATAAAATACAATTTTCCGAAAACCGTACTGCACCGACCATACTGCTGCACATAAATCCAAGGTTTTTTCAACTGTACATTATTGTGTCGTCTAGTATTAGGCTCGTTATCAAATGATCACCACTTGTGTTGAACAATGTTTAAACAATACGAATTTATAAATGGATTAACAAACTAGTAATTGGAACTTATTAGTATTTGATTCGCGTTTAATGCAAATAAAACCAGGTATAGATTGTATTGATTGAAACCGTAAATTATTAATGCTATACAAGGATATCTTTAAGCGAGAAAAATCAAGTTTTTCGTTATAAATGGGAATAGAACATTTTTCATTTTCTAATTTTTCTTGCGTGTTGATGTGGTGTATCATAGTCTTTATTTGTCATTGACTAATGAATACAGGTAATAAATTGTTAAAGGATATTTGGGTGTAGTTTGTCGTTGTTGTTTTTATATTTTAATCAGTAAAATACTCCAGCCTTGGTGTATGGAAAGGTAATGATACGATGATGTGTAAAATCAAATTAATGTATCAGGCGTTTTTCGTATTTTGATAACAGTGTGATAATTATTAAGCTTTTGAACATTTTAAATATTTCAGATGTAGCTACTAAGGGGGATACTAAACTGAAATAGGAAAAGAAGAACTCTATAAATTCCAGAGTCGAATGTCAAACGTGATAAGACTAGACCAGTAAGTAAATTTCAATTTGTTATAATAATATTGTTGTTGTTGTTGTTATTGTTGTTTTTTGGGTTTTTTTATTGCTACGTTTTATTGCACTCGTGCACAAACTCCACATCAACCAATGAACATGTATCTAAGTTCAAATTTCAAGATAGTCATTTATAAATGTTGAATTCTGCTTGAGCCGGTGCTAGTGGGAGGGTACGGTATCACTACCGTCCTTGAACAGGGTCATTCAAGTCGAACATTTCCATCTAAGTAGCTATTTGTCGTTTTTAGAGATTCTGTTTTTTCTATAAAATAACTTTAAAGTGTGTACCCTAGCGATACTAAAAACTGTCCTACGATTCCTTACAATCCTCTTATGACAGCCCATAATGTGGCTAGACGGAACTGTATCACCTCCTCAATTTACATCTGGGGGACCTGAAACAATGTCGTGAAATTGGGATATATTTATATCTTCATTTTAATGTGTGTGTCCCATAAAAGCCCAACATTAACTACATGTATATCAGAAACACAATGTTACATGTTGACATTTTGATTTACAAACCAAGTTATCAGAGTAGGTTTTTATTTCAGGACTCAGGGCGGACAATATTTGTAATATCATTATCATTTCAGGACACTAATATGTTTTATATTGTTGATTTATGAATTATTTCATATCAGATAGCTTGTGGGGTTTAATGTTGTTATGATAATAAGACGTTTGAAGAAGATTGCAAATGGGAATAAAAATATTATTTCAATATCACTTCAAGACTATTGTTTGGGATGAATAGTATTGTTTTAACATAGTCTAAGAACGCTTATAAGTATGTACATAAACATACCGGTGGTTGTCTTCATTTTGCATTATTATGAAATATATTTAGAACCAGAACATAAATATTAATAAAATCTCATTTTCTAATTTTTCTTCCTTGTTGATGTGAATTGTTATATTGTATATTTGTCATTGACTAAAGAATGCAGGTAATGAACCGAAAAGAATGTTTGGGTGTAGTTTGTTGTTTGTTTTGATATTTTTTATCGATAAAATACTCCAGTCTTGGTGTATGGAAAGGTAATGATACGATGATGTGTAAAATCAAATTGATGTATCAGGCGTTTTTCGTATTTTGATTACATTGTGATAATTATTAAGCTTTTGAACATTTTAGATATTTCAGATGTAGCTACGAAGGGGGATACTAAACTGAAATTGAAAAAGACGAACTCCATAAATTCCAGAGTCGAATGTCAGACGTGATAAGTCTAGACCAGTAAGAAAAATATCGTTTTATTCTAGCATTCTTTATGGTTTATGGTATCAGGTGTTAAGGGTTGCGTGTAAGTCACATTTTTATTTATTCTAATATTTGTTTCTTTTTTCTTCTTTTTTTCTTTTTTTTTTTTTTTTTTTTTTTTTTTTTTTTGTTTGTTTTTTTTGTTTTTTTTTGCTACGTTTTATTGCACTCGTGCACAAACTCCACATCTACCAATAAGCATGTATCTTAATTCAAAATTTCAAGATTGTCATTTATAAAATTTATAAAGTTAAATTCTGCTTGAGCCGGTACTAGTGGGAGGGTGCGGTATCACTACCGTCCTTGAACAGGCTCATTCAAGTCGAACATTTCCATCTTAGTCGCTTTTTGGCATTTTTAGAGATTTCGCTTTTCTATAAAATAACTTTAAAGTGTGTACCTTTGCGATAGTAAAAACTGTCCCACGATGTCGTGAAATTGGGACATGTTAATATCTTTATTCGAATGTGTGTGTCCTATATATGCACCAAGAAAAGCCCAACATTAACTACATGTATATAAGAAACACAATGTTACATTTTGACATTTTGATTTACAAACCAAGTTATCAGAGTAGCGGTTTTTTTCAGGACTCAGGCCGGGCGATATTTGTAATATCATTATTATTTCAGGACACTTGTATGTTATTTATTGTTGATTATGAATTATTTCATATCAGATAGCTTGTGGGGTTTAATGTTGTTGTGATAATAAGATGTTTGAAGAAGAATAAAATGTTGTCTCAATATCACTTCAAGATAGACTATTGTTTGGTATGAATTGTATTGTTTTAACATAGTCTAAGACCGCTTATTAGGCTAAATGATGTGCATATACATACTAGTGTTTGTCTTCATTTTGCATTGTTATGACATCGATTCAGCACCAGAACATAAATATAAATAAAATTTCTAATTATAACAATGTTTCAGGACAAATGTTGCAAATGAATGAAGTTTTAAGGAAGCTAATTGGACTAAAAGTGTTGATATAATACCAATGATTAAAACTATATAGAGTCTTCAGTTAGCAACATTTTTTTCATCATTTCAGCACTCTAATGGATATTGCTGTAAAAGAAAATTTTGATAGTGACACACATGTCAATTCTGAAACTGAATCCGAAACTGAAAGGACATTAACGCCTGAAGAGCTTGATAAAGATAGGTATAACGCTTGAGACATATTATGAAGTATTTGTCAGTGCATTCATTATCGCAGCTGTATTTGTTATTTCTTAAGTCATGAAAAATAGCGTGGGAATAACTGTTGTTATATTGGATAATTGTTGTGTCTATGACATCGTTTCAGCACTTCAGTGAGACTTAATGATGAACAAAAACCGGACACTAGCACAGATGTCCATTCAGAAATAAAAGAAATAATGGAAGACACTCAAACTGAACAGACGAAAATGTCAGAAGAACCTGACAGAGAGAGGTACAACAAACCAAGCGCATTACAAAAAGTGTTCATTTTGATTAATCAATATATTTCTGTTGTTAAAAATGTTTTTCTATACGAAAAAGTAAAAGACAAGGTTATATGATATAAATAAATATGTTTGTCATAGTTTGTGGGATTTATTTTACTAAGAAAAAAGTTTGTTAGGTTTATTAAATCGTTTAAGGACTTCAGTGGGGCCTAATGTTGAACAAATAATTTATACTAACACACAAATCCATTTCGAAACAGTAGCAGAAACTGAAACTGAAAAGACGATAACACCAGCAGAACCTGACAGAGAAATGTATGACAAATCAAAGACATGTCATGAACTGTTCAATTTGAATAATAGATATATTTCTGTTGTTGATATTTTTTATACGAAAAGATAAAAGACAAGGTTACATGATATTTAATAAATATGTATGTCATTGTTTTTGGAATATATTTAATAAAACAAGTTTATTTAGTTCATAAAAACGTTTCAGAACGGTGGGGCCTAATGTTGAACAAACAATTGATACTAGCACACGAGTCCATTGCGAAACAGAAGCAGAAACTGAAACTGAAAAGACGATAACACCAGAAGAGTTTAATAAAGAGAGGTATAACGCTCAAAACATTTTAAGTATTTATTAATAGATCTATTTTCGCGGTGTAGATATATCAAAGAATCAATAAAAAAAATCAGGGCCAATATTTGGATTCGTTTGATGCTATTATTGTATTGTTTCAGAACAATTGTAAAACATATTGTTACCATTGAACATTGTTCCAGGGATGAATATTGAGAATATGAGTATGAGTATGGATCATTGGTGGTTATTATCAGACACCAAATCGTATCTGAAATGATGCAAGGAGGGCAACCTGAGTTCTTCATAAACCATTTTATATACCTTTATAGGTGGAAAGTCGACAAAGGAGATAATTAAAAAAGATACTGTACTTACATAGTTCAAGGGCGCTGGAAGGCTTTCATATTGCATCAAATTATTGTTTCTAGGCATGCGTTGGGCTTTATGTTCCTATTATATGATGGTTTACGGACGATAAATGGGTGGCATAATGATATCATAATGATATTGTTAAAGGACCGAAGTATGTGTTTAATATCATTGTTTCATAACTGAAATTGGACTATTGAAGAACATAAACCCGATTCTGTCGAATCTTTTCCGTATTCAAAAAAATAAATGTAGAAACTGAAGTTCCACGAGAAATTATTTAAGATAAGGTATGATGTCCAAGGCATTTAAAAAATCATTCATGAATGTTCAGTATATTTTTGTGCTTTGACCTTTTTATATGAAAGTATAAAGCAAAGTGTTATGAAAAAAATGTTAAAAATGTGTCGTTAATGGACACTATGTAAACGTAAACACGTAGTTCCTGAACGTGTAAATGGACGATTAATGTATCAATAACATCGTTTCAGCTTCATAGAGGAGGGATTAAATGATGAACAAAAACCTAATACTTGCACACATGTCGATTCAGATATAGATGGTGAGACTGAAACTAGACAGACGATAATGTCAGAAGAGCTTGACAAAAATAGGTATGACTCACCCAGAATTCAATTTAATCAATGAATAAATTTCTGTCCTTGAAATCGTTTTTCTTTATATGAAAAAAGTAAAATGATACTTTTACATATGTATGGAACATAATGTATGATATAGTTAAGTACATTAAAGTGTGTGTAACCTTAAACCATGTGACAAAGTATAATGTTGTCATTATAACCTCGTTTTAGGGCTCCATTGGGGCTTGATGTTGATCAAACAACTGATACTGGCACAGATGTCCGTTCTGAAATAATGGTAAAAAATGAGCAAACGATAGTGCAAGAAGATCTTGGTAAAGATAGGTATGACGTTCAATGTATTTTAAGAAGTATCAATTTCGAATGGAACTTTTTCTATAGATAAAATAACAAAAATATATATATAATATGGGATTCAATGCTGTTATTATATAAAGATAAAAAGTTTCAGAACAATTGCCAACAAGTTATCTCTTTTTATTTCAGGGCCTTTTTGGGGAAGTCTTATTATAATGTTATCATTGTATCGTTTCAAGATTCTTTTGAAACTTGCAATTATCATTAATACATTGTTTCAGGAATTAAAAATTTTATTAGAGGGATAATACAATCTTTTCTGAACACCAAAGAGACTTAATGGCATAACAAATAATCGTTTCTAGATACTTGTTTGGGTTAATGTTGTTATAACATATTTTAAGGGTGCTTAACGGGTTAAACGATGGTATTGTAGTAACATTGTTTGAAGACTTGGTTGAATAGTGTCTTTCAAAACTATCGTTCTAGTGATATAGTGGTACCAATCGAGGAAGAAAACCTTGATAATGACAAACTAGCCCATGTTGAAGAGAATGAAGAACCTGAAGTTACAAATGAGATAGTGTCAGAAGAGCTCGATAAAGATGTATGGTATGGCGTTTAAGACATTTTAAGACATTTTAACAATTGAACACTTCATTTCTGTAACTGGAGTATGTTCATTATGGAAAAATATTATGAAAGTAAACTTTTGATATTGGGAACAGTATTACTTAAATACATCGTTTATAAATTGTCATTGGGCTTTAATTATCAAAATATACTTTACGAAAAGGTTTTGTGTAGATTAATGGCGTTCTTATAACATTGTTTCAGCACTCTTGTGGGGCGTAATGATGAACAAAAACCTGATATTAATATACATGTACATCCTGAAATAATGGAAACATCTGTAACAACTGAAACTGAACCGGCGATAATGGAAGAAGAACTTTACTCAGACAAGTATGAGATCCAGGACATTTAAAGAAATATTGTATTTTATTTATTGATGATTCTTTGTTGTTTTAAAGTAACAAGATACATGTTTTTTATAAATGTTGTTGGGATTTTTTTAAAATCATTAAATGTATGAAAGCCCTATTTCATATGAAAAATAATGCTGCTGTTTTCATTGTCATTATCGCTGTAGGTCTTCAGATGGGCCTAATGTTAAACAAAGTTCTGATACTGACACAAATGGCCATTCTGGAGCAGGTGTAGAATCCAAAACTGAACAGACGATACTTTCAAAAAAGCTTGATAAGAATAGGTATAATAATTAGAACCTTTCAAGAATTTTAAGTAGTATTTTAAAAAATATATTTGTCTCATTGTTGTGGTTGTTTTCTCCTGTATGAAACAGTACATTGTAATAACCATGATGTGTAATATTTAACTTATTTATGACATAATAACATAGTTTCTGGACATATGTATAGATCAATCATGTTATAATTACATCATTTGCGGTCTTGTCGGTAGTCTATGCTCAATGAGGGTCCATCCGCCCTTTAAGGCACTTAGAGTACATACACCGGACATGTCATCAGTCTTTAATATATAATAGAATTATTATTTAAAGTGACGACCTAATTAATTTGTTTTCATCAATCCACTGAATGTGTCCAGATATTGATGTAGTTGTTTTCGTATGGTTACTAAAAATTATATATTGCTAGGGAGTGTTAGGAATGTTGCCCGTTTTCATAACACTCATGTACAGTTTCAAACAAACCTTGTATGCAATTTTTATTTAATTTTGTTGTTGTAATTAGTGCTTCCGAGGAATTACTTTTTTCCCAGATTTTTATACTTCACAACAGCAGGTGTAATACGAAAATAATCACGGCAAGCTTCAGACAGTTGTTTCGAATAGGTAACGGACAATAATGTTGATATATTAAATGATGTTATTATTATATGTATCGTTTCAGGATACGACGGCGGCTAGAGGGTCTTATTTTTTGTATTTATAATAACCTTGTCTCAAGAATTAAGACATTTATGGCTATTAGTAATGCTATGATATGATCTCCCTTAAAGTTATCGTTATAGTGCCGATTCAAGAAACTCGTATTTTAAGGACTCTGAATTGGTAAAATGATGATTTGTAAAATATATTGTTTAGGAACGTTAGATGGCTTAATATCTATTATATGAACATCGTTTCAGGACGCTTTATGAGAAAGAAAAATCCGAAACTTACAACATTTACCATTTTGAAAATCAATGTTATTTGCAACTGAAAATAACTTCTTTTTTGCCGTTTGTTTGTTTGTTTTGTTTTGTTTGTTTATCTTTTTATGTTTTTTTATTTGTACTTTTATGTGTTGTTTGTTTTGTTGGTGTTGTTTGTTGGTCTGTGTTTTTTTCTGCTTTTTTAAATTTCTTGCTAGATATTTTAGTCGTGATGACCTGTTTCAGTATTAAAACATTTTATATGATTTTATTAAATTTCATTATCAGAACATGATGTTGACTTATATTGGCATTATGACATCTTTTCAGCACCTCCTTGGTGGGACGTAATGATGAACAAAAATCGAATGCTGGCACAAATGTGGTAGAAACTGAAACCGAACAGATGATAATGTCAGAAGAGGTTGACAAAGAGAGGTATGATTTCAACAGGAATTTAATGTATGTTCAATCATATAAATGAATAGATATTTGTTGCTTTAAAAAATAAAATATACGATGTAATACGATATCTTATACATGAATTTTTTAATACATATTATTTATGTAGAAGTTTGTAATAACTTATGAATGTCACCTTGCCTTGTTGAGCTTTGTTTTTTCTTTTTTCGGGAGAGATTTCTTTTCGTCACAAAGTATACAGTTTTTTACCCTATTTCATGTGACAAAGATAATGAAAAAAATTTAAAACAAACACAAATAAAGTTTTAGTATTTCAGCAGTGCGTTAATCATTGCCTACAGATTAATGCTTATCTCACAAACGTGTCAGGAATTTTTCATTGTATAAATATTTGTAGAGAACAAAATTTAATAATTGAAAAGCCGATGTGTCTAATATATTAATAAATTCTAATTGAAATAAATATTTGTAGAGAATAAGATTGAATATTTGAAAAGCCGATGTGTTTAATATCATTTCACATTCAAATTGAAATGAATATTTGTAGAGAATAAGATTGGATATTTGAAAAGCCGATGTGTCTAATATCATCTTACATTCAAATTGAAATAAATATTTGTAGAGAACAAGATTGGATATTTGAAAAGCCAATGTGTTTAATATCATCCAACAATGGACGTCTTGAAGTTGTAGACGACACAGTCAGGGCGTTAGAGAAAATTGAGATGCCATTAAATGTTGTAGCAATAGCTGGACTTTATAGAACAGGTAAATCCTACCTGATGAATCGATTGGCTGGAAGAAACTCTGGTAGGTAATTTTAATCATAGATTCGATAAAATAAAAGTCTTTGAAATTATATATCATTTTTATTGTTTTTTTTGTAAACCATGGACAAATTACTATGTTGTAAGTATATAGTCTTTCATAACTCATTTTAAAGAACTGCTGGTGCAAAACTTTTAAACGGAATAAAGCCGAATTACAAACATTTTTCAGCGTTTCTACAATGAAAGATTAAAGATATACTATGCTCAAATTTGATTTTCATAAATACTAATAATTGCTACACAGTCTCTTTGTATATATAAAATAAACATGTTTCGTCTTCATTTAAAGTAGATACGTTATGTTTTAAACTCTACACTTCATAAGTAGTCTCAATATGAATATTTAGTGTCATTAAAAAACTGGCAGTTTTTTTTTTTAGGAAGGACCAGTAATAGGAAATGCAGCTTCCCCGACATAGTTTATTCATTATTTGATTCAAATCAAACATTTTCAGTAAGAATTTCACGGATTTCAATACATTTCTAAGATAAAAATATTTTACCCAAAGATGAGCGTAGTATATCTTTAACCATTATAACGTCTAACAATGACATTCAAATGCAAGGTTAAAATAGTTAATCGATATCTAGTCCTGGTAGTCGAGTTAAATAAAAGTAGCAAACCCTGTAACTGAATAGTCTCTTCCTTTTTGATCATTGTCAAACCTTTAACATAGCCAATCAAAAATATGATCTTATCACATACCCGTGCAGCTTTTGCGACTCCGAAAAAATGGTATTGCGCGACCGTGAATATATTTTGACGTAACGTCATTTGCGTTATTTAAACAAAGCGTCACGACGCGCTAAATGTTAGTATAATACTATAGGCGCATTAATGAAAAGTGGTTCTTTTTTACTTCAAACGGTATATATTTTTGTAATGTGATAAATAGAATAATAAATTCGTGTAAGATCATTACTTAATTTATTGAACTCGTTGAATAAAATAATATTATGCTCGCCAAAGATTCGCATAATATAATTTTATTCAACTCGTTCAATAAATTCAGTATTAAACTTACACTCATTCAATATCCTCTATTTATTATCTTAAACACGAAAGTTGATCGTGATTCTTTAAAATCTTCTGGTATTTACATGTATACCTATATAAGAAATATATATAGGAAAGCGAACATTACATTGGTGTGTTTACTAGTATCTTGTGAGATCTTTCCATTGATAGAAGTGTACTTAGAGATCCTGTAACTCAATTTTAATGAATTTATATCATTTATATAATGCTCAAGTGAAGATTTATCAATATTGTCAGTTCTAAAAAGCATTATTATTATTTGTAAACATATTACCGAATTTACATTTTATGTTAATAAAGGGAGATAATTAGAAATAAATTTAGTATTAAGTTTAAGTCAAATTTTCCAATAAGAAATGAATGCATTTATTTAAATGATTACACAAAATTTGCTCAAATATTTGCAGTTCATATTTTACACATTCTTAGATGTTTGAAAATTGTTTTAGAAACATAAATATCTACATATATAAAATTTCACTTAAGTGTGGTAACAACCTTTATTACAACATACAGAATCTTTAAATGTGGAAGAGTGAGATCAATAATATTCCGGGTAAATGTATCTAAAAACAAAAACAAAATGTTATCAACATTACTTTTCACCGGAATACTACACTTTTTTTCATTTTCTTATTTTATATTACTGTAAAGACATTCTTTATAATTCAATATGCATTTTCCGGATGCATGGTTATCTTTAATAAAATGACAATATTTTGATCATGTGTATAATACATTAAAATATTTTTACAATTTTAGGGTTCCTGATGGGTAGCTCAATAGAGTCATGTACTAAAGGTATTTGGGCATGGTGCAGACCACACCCTAAAAAACAAAATGAAGTATTATTGTTACTTGATACTGAAGGTTTAGGAGATGCTACAAAGGTGATTTATACCAAGTGTTTGGTAAAAAGATAAATAATAAATGAAAACATTTAGTATATGTTTTAATTCTAAAAGAGTTATCATTGTTTTATATTCGGCATATGCTGCCATATTGTTTTGCAAACGATACACTGTTAATTTTTATATATTAACTTGCTTGGCTTGGAGCCTTTTTGTCGGTCCGCCTTCTAGAACTCACAAGAACTGGTGCAACAATGGGAGTTATGGTCGTGGCCCAAACAGGCTCGAACCTAAGATCCATTACTTCAGAGACAGACAGAGTCTTTCCAGGCAGTTATTTTCTTTTTCTTAAATGGCATCTGATATTGATTGTAATATGTATGTTGACATGAGACACATTTGTGAAGATTTTTGTAATTGTTCTGAAAATATTGAAATGACAAAAAAATATGTATGTTATAATTGTCTGTCTTTGTAGGGTGATATCGACCATGACAATAAAATATTTACTCTGACTACTTTAATCAGCAGCACGTTAGTCTACAATGTGATGTCAGCTTTTAATCAAGATGCAGTTGAGAAACTAACGTATCCTTTTCTGCTTTGATATTGACATATGTGAATAGTTTGCTGTAATGGACATACATTACTTTGAATTTCTAAAATATTACTATGAATTTCTAGAATAAACGAAAATTGATGGACTTATACTCGTAAGTTGTTTAAGAAAAAATGTTTAAAATTATTTATAAATAGAATCAGTGTTATGTTATCTGAATTATGAATTGTGGAAAATAATTGCTTTCCAATTAAACTGACTTTAATAAGTTTCTTGAACAGAAACAAGAGCACATTCTCATAATTGAATATGCTGCCAATACATTGGTTAATAGTTTAAATAAAACGTTTCCATAATTTTTGATACGTTTGATAGCTTAGACAGTTCATATTTATGTAGATGACTTCTTTACTTGATGGAAACTTAACCATTTATACAAACAAGACATTTAAATCTAAATAGCACCATAAAGACCTCGCGTACTTCTTTTCAATTTTGTCAATTGATACCTTAACAACTTATAATATATGTCACCATGCTGTCACAAAATATAAAAGTATCCGCAAACGATTCGTCTAATGACGGTCTAGAAAGTATCATGCCTCACTTTGTACTTTGTGTCCGAGATTTCAATCTTGAACTAGAACACAATGGAGAAGAAATGACGGCCGATGAATATCTAGAAATGTGCCTCCAAACAAAAACCGCTGAGACCCAAGAAGATGAGAAATATAACAGACCACGAGAATGTATTAAGAGATACTTCACACGGAGGAAAGTGTTTACATTTGACAGACCAGCTGGTCGAAAAGTAATGAGAACTTTAGATTTGGCCAGAGAAGAAGACCTTAATGAGGATTTTGTACATGAAACAGAGAAATTCTTGGCATATATTTATACTTGCCCAGGAAAATATCTTCTTAATAAATCGCCCGTAACAGGAAGCAGTAAGTAGTTTAATATTATTAAATATTAGCTTTATATATATATATATATATATATATATATATATATATATATATATATATATATATATATATATATATATATATATATATATATATATATATATATATATATATATATATATATATATATATATAATAAACCTTTTCGTTTCTTTATTATAGTCATTTTATTATTTGTATATATCTTCATATATATTTGTTTCTGTAAGAGTTTGATGAAGCAGAAAAGTTAGTGAAAACTACACAAGTTTTAACTGTATGAAGTAATTTTTAAGATATTATAAAATGTTTTATAATTCATTTTGTTCTATGCTGATGTATCAAATAATATATCTCTAAGTGTAAGTATTCTAGGTAGAAACTTGAAAATTGAAAATCTCAATAAATCGTGTAATGCAACTTAAAATTAACTCTAAAGAGTTTTTAGGAAACAATATCAGTAATTTATTTGATCTTGGCCTAGTGACTTCCGTTAGCTCTTTCTCAACAATAAGCATTTTGGTTTAAGCGAAGATCTGGTTGAAACTTATGAATGGTATTCTTATTATAGTGTTAGCTAAACTTCTAAGAGAATATGTTGCCACAATAAGTGATGGCAATGTACCATGTGTCGAAGATGCTATAATGATCATGACAAGGCAAGAAAACGAAAAGCACGCAAAGGTAGCTGTCGAAGAGTTCAAAGTATTTCTAAAACAAATACAGCTTCCGGTATATGACAAAAACAAATTGTGTAATTCAAACTTAAAGTTCAAAAAAGAGCAGTTATCAAGTCTGCAGTCCAAACTGATGTTTGATACAGACAGCAAATTCCAAAATTCAACAGAGGTAAAAAAAAGTATTTTGCATTGTAAAATGTTTGTTCATCTAACTAACAAGTTCGATAGTAATTAAACATTGAGAGCCTTCCTTTAGATTTTTGTTTAACAGAAAATGATGAAAATACTTGAAATTACCCTAAATCGCGTTTTTTCATGTTTAAACATGGCCTGTCATATAAATTTGAAGAAAAATTGTTGTTTTGTAGATTTTTTGATTTTTTTCATTAATAAAAATGGTTTAACCACATAGGCACATCATGAATTCGATCAACTGACAATGTTGTCCTTATAAACTTTACGTGTCGCCAGCACATATGGTTAGTTATACTCGTACAGAGTTAATCTCTTAGTTTGTATCCTGTAAGAAATGATACATGTTTGTTTATAAATATAATTGCCAACCAAAACTTCCTTAACTTCCTACTATTGTTTCTCCAACCATCTTTACCTTTTTATTTTTTGCAGGATGAAATGCAAACACTTTATGAAGAATTTGAAAAACATAATTCAAAGCTTTTGTATGAGAAATGTATAAATACACTTCACAAGATGCACGAGACAACTGTGAAAGTAAACATTGAAAAGGGAAAGTACGCAACTTCTGGTGGCCACGATGTCTACGACCAAGACATGCGTGTTCTATATGATGAATACAATAACGAACTCAAAAACATAGACATCGCTGAGGTATTGTTTCGGTTAAATTTCCCTTCATTGAAAATGGTTCAACACGACATAATTGTTGTGTTTGTTTGTACTTTAAGTTTTACTTCTAGTTACGTGGTCCTAGTTTTCGTCACTTATATGTATTATTAACTCAATCACACTTACGATATGGTGCTTACTTTTTAAATTTGTCTTTTGACAGCTTATCTCTGATACGTAGGCTTCATTAAATCTGACCGCCTTTTAAAATTCCATTATATTTAGTTTCGCCACTATTTTTCTCGTTTAGGGCGATATTAATTTTTTACTTTAGGACCATTTTCATGGAAGTGCACTACTGTGTCACATTGAAGTCTCCATTGCAACCGCCGCAAACATATATGCGTATTTTTGTGAAATCAAAATTTTATCATTCTAAGTTATATATAAATACAGTTGACTCTTGGTAACTCGAAATCCAAGGGACTGGGCATTTTACTTCGAGAGAAACGGAATTCGAGTAATGTGGAACTACCGCCATTACGTTGACATTCGTACATGTATATACATGTGCCTGATTGAATGTGTAAAGAAGTAGGTTGTTATTGTTGTTAGCGGCAATGCTGCAATATTTGACCATTGAAATGACGGTAAATAACTTACAACTACAAATTATAGATGAACAAAAATATATCATTCAAAATTTAATACATGTATATTAATAGTGAAACATAAACTCACAATTATATTTGATTTAATTGATTATCGGACGAAAATGAAATTAGCAACTATCATGAACCGGAAGTACAAATTAATGTATGCAATATGACGGGACATTAATTATACAAATGTTATTTACGTTGATAACACACATCAATACCTAGGCTGTTATTTGACTACCACCCGTCAGACTGGCACGAGTCAACTTTCTTAAAGCAATGTAATTACATTTTAATTTAGTTATCTAACTGTTAAAACCAATTAAGTCCTGAAACGGATTAAAGCCACTTTTACGACGTGTTAATAATACATGATGACCGGCAATTAAAAATTACTATGAAACGTGTAAATCACGAGTGACAACATCTCACCTTGATGTCGCCGACCTTTGATCAGTCGGCTGTTTTCACACTTCGACTAATTGAGATGAAAATATGTTGTACTTTAACTGACGGGACCAAATTTTCTTTTCGACTAAACAGGAGTCTCGGTAAGTCAAAATTTGACCTAAGCGGAGTTAAAATACAAAGATAAAGAAGGAAATTTGACGGGACTTTAGAAATTTTTCGACTAAGGCGGAATTTTGAGTAAAGCGATTTTGACTTATTGAGAGTCAACTGTAATGCTTAAGCTGACACAGTCAAACCGAGCCAGCAACATTTTCAAATTCCCCTTTTTGATGTTCTTTAAGGATTCTTTATTTCTCTTTATTTTAGCCTATTTTCATAATCCAACACTTTATTTGCGGGACTTTACGTTTACAGTCCAAATATTAAATACATACATAATATATTTACTATGTTTATTTCCAGTCATTTATTTACGCTTTTAGCAGTCTGATATTTTTTCTTATTTTACTACATCTGATCAAAAGATTCACTTTTCATATCTTTTTGTGTTGTTTTTACCTTAAATAAAATAGATGTTATTAAACGGTCTGATTAATTTGACTGTCTATAATTATTGTAATGATATAACAGCAAAGGCCAATAAGGAAGAAAACATTCATGGAAAGCAGCTCACAGTAATATTCAGCAATGTAGGACCATGTACATTTCAAACTTTTACAAATTAATGCAAATTGGGTGACTGGCTATTCTATTGCTAAATGGATAATACTAAGTCACTGATTGACCTGGTTATCACGAACATTTGTATGTAGAGCTGTTTGTTGGCACAAAACTTAGCAAACAGAACTGGCAGTGTTAAATTTTTCACTGCTTAAAACTAAAAAGGTTCGTTGGTAAGGCACCTGGGAAAATGCCAAATTGAGAGAAGGGCACAGAAAGCGGGATATGGGATTCGGGTTTAATAAGTTCAGTTATACTTTATAGAATACGTGGAATATGAAACTCAATTTGAGTTCTATTTTTGTTTGGTACTCTGCTCGGTTCTTTGCGTAAGGTCCTATGTTTCGGGCTGCATGCAGTGAAAGTTGAATTTCTTTGCTGAACTGTGTTTTCTTATATGAAACTGTAAGACTTAAAGACCTGCGTGAGATAGTTTGTTGTTCATATATTATTTGCAGAGAAGAAAGGCGCAACACGATTTTGAAAGCAAAATGATACATGAGAATAAGCTGATGGTGACAGAGGATAAAAAGTTGACAGAGAAAGAGTCAAAAGGTATAGTACCATTTTATATCTGATGTTTACTTTTTTGTTTCTCTCCTTTTTTATATATTTTACTATGCTCATTTCAATTTCCTGAAGATATTTGACGTATTTGCTAATATTCAAAAAAAAAAATTCAAGCAATACTGTGCCTAAAATTGTGTTTTATTTCAAATCGATAGTACTCTTTTAATCCGCCCAAAGACCTTCAGAACGTATTTTTGTATGGCGTTGTCTGTCCGTCTGTCCGAAGCTAACATGTTTCAGTAGCATACCTTTTAAAGGAATTCAGTGAAAGTGTTTATATTCAGCATGTTTTGTTAGTTTGTTTTATCTGATTCGATTTTGGCTGTTATTAACAGAGTTATGTCTCTTTTTAAGAATTTTCCAGTGATTTTTTTTTTGGTTTCCCCAGCATAACGTTTTTTAGGCTTTCGATGACTGTGTTAATATTTTGCATCTGAGTATGTTATATCAAAACTCGGGTTTGACTTTGGCTGCAATCAATTCTTTAATAATAGCGATATGTCCCTTTTAAGCTTTTTTGGGGGTAAAACTATTGGTTTTCGCAGCATAACTTTAAAAGATTTAAAGTAACTGTGTTTATATTGGAGACATGTAATTATTTCATATTACAACACAGGTCAAATTTAATTGTTGTTGCAATCAATTCATTGTTGATAAAGTTCTGCTCCTTTGTAATCAATATTTAAGTGAAATTATAGATTTCGGATTTCAATGTTTCTTTTTATATTTGGCATGCAAGTTTCTTATACCAAAACACAAGTAACATTTGATTTTCATTGCAATCAATTGATTATTGGTAAGATTATGTCCCATTTTCAGGGATACATTTTGTAAAATTATTGGATTAACTGTGTTTGACATGCAAGAATGTATTCGAAAAAAACTTGTCAAGTTTGATTTTCTCCGCACTCCGGTAATAGCAACCTTCATTTTAATTATTCTTTATATCAAAATGAAAACAAGTCATAAGTATCAGATATATTCTATAAATAATATGTTAACTTGTTACCCAAAAAATATTCACTATATATTTTTCTTTCATATTAGGTAAAAAGTCATTAACTTGCCATTTATAATAATCTGCTTATCTTTCTTTAAATTTTTGTCCATGATACCATTACGTTCTTAATGTTATCCATATATAACCAATAGAGTTAATGACTACAAAACTAAACACATTGAAAACTGAGTTGATACAGTCACAAAAAAATGAGAGAATAAAACTTGAGGCAAAACTTGATGATCAACGCAGATTTTACGATGAAAAAAGGGAAACGGCTAAACGGAAAGAAAAAGAACGAGAAAGAAGAATAGCTGATGAACATAGAGAAGAGCTAAGAAGAATGAAGGAGGAATTTGAATATGAGATAAAAAGGGAACGAGAAAAAAGAATAGCTGCAAAAGAAAGAAGGGATATGGAAAATGAAAGGAGACGTTTAAATGAACGTGAGCGTGCACTTGAACAAAATAAATGGTGTTATTTATCATAATGTTGAACATTTTGTAAAATCGCATCATTTTTTTTTTTATTTGCTTACATTTCGTATAATGAATGTTGTATTCAACTGAAAATAGCTGGTAATTCTTTTGTAAAAGAAACGTGTACTCGTATTTATGACATACATATGCTTATCTTTTAAGAAAGGATGTGCATAACTCTATGATGAAAAAATAGATATAAGAAAGATCAAATCAAACTTTAAAATGATCTCAAAAAAGACATGGAGATATGTTTAGGTAAAGGAGATTTGTATGCAATGCATTTAAACTTTGGTAATGTGTGCTGTAGAGTTATCCCTCATAAATCTTTTTTGGAATAGCTTTACATGGTTTTATGATGTTTTTATCTGTGGTTTTATAAATTTATATGTTATGCCAACTTATAATAATAAATAATAACAATATATTACATTCTAAAATTTGTAATTTAAAATATAATTATAGTCTATCATTTATAAAAATTAAAAAAGTAATAATAATAAAATACATGCTTCAATGCAAAACGTTTTAGGATCTGAAATCATAATTTATCTTTATTAAGTACCATGGCGCAGCATTTTAACTTTGCAGAACTGACACTTAGAGTAGAGTAATATTCATTTTAAAGATACAATTTCTTTGTTTAGCGGCCATTTTTAACCGGATTTTTAGAGTAAGCCTCCGACAGAATTGTTTTAACGATATAGAAATGGCTGATGCAATAGCGAAATGAATTCACAATAGAGAAAGGTTATGCATTTCTATCTTAGATTGTTGGGTCATTTGTACTTATTCCTAGTTTGCAATAATGCAATAATGTGTTTCTCTTGTACATGTCTGATGAGAAACATGTCTGATGAGACAATCATGATAAATATGTACAAGAAAAGCATAAATGCAAAGCATCAGAGGGCGTCAAAGCAAGAAATGCAGCAAGTGAAGATGAACTAGTAGACATCTGATGACCAGATATTCTTTTCAATGGTTAATTGGTTTTTACCAGAATTGTATAATATTTATGAATGGGCGGACGAAAAACATTGTTCATTATGAACTTTGGTAGGCATGCTAGATATTAGAATATTAAAAAATAGTTTCCACAGGAACTTGAAAATCTATCAATATTAACGATAATATCCAAAATATACAGGTATATAATATCCAAAATATAACCAGTATATGGTATAAGTTTATTTATACTATATAGGAGTACTATATAGGAGGTATTTTTGGATATTATCATTAATAGTGGTTATTTGATAGAATTTCAAGTTCATGTGGTATTTTCTTTGGAACAAACAAAGTAGTAGTCAAAATAAAAAAAGTTGTTAATTGATTTATTGGGAGGTCAATCTACTATTTTAAGTGTGCTTACATTCCTTTCAATAAACCCATAACAACTCATGTTTAAATTGCAGACGAAAGCTTTTGTTGTTAAAATGTCACATTATTCGGCAAAGCAACATTCCACTCAAACTTCCATAAAATCGACTGCCGTGAGACAAAATTTAGAACGATTTGAACAGCGAAAAGGTATTATAGTATACTACTGCTAGACTGTCGCACAACGTCAAAATAAAAGCGACATTTAAAGATATGATATTTAAATATTCACGGTAAAAATGTCATAAGTGCAATCAGGGCCGTAAAAAAGAAAACCGGAAAGAACCTACGGAAATGACATTTTCATTTTGATAATATTATGATATAACAATTCGTAAAAAATGGCTTACTTATTTTTTCTAAAGATTAATAAAGATTGCAATTAATTGTTATAAATATGTTTGCGTTTCATTTCCTGCAAAATTCTCCAGTTCGTTATTCATTGCCATAGCGCGACACGAATGACCGTTTCGTTAAAACTAAAACAACAACTACAAATAGTTTTTCGGACTTTCACAATGTTAAGGTCATCATTTTATTTATAGGTACAGCAATACATAATGACCCACTGTGTACTACAAAATGATTATTTAAAAAAAAACAAGAGCGCGATTAATTGACGGATAAGATAATTTTATTTAAATATATTTGCCTTGCGAAATACTCCAGTTCGCTATTGATTGCATATATCGAGACATTTCATTTTTGATAATCAAACACCCTCATACCAATCGGAATGATCGGCTACTATCACCGGCACAAAGGCCCGACAAGTTGCAATTGCCCTTTCACAAAATCTGATTTCATTACAATAGGGCGTCTTAAGATAAGGGAGATTCATATGCAATGCATATAACTTTGGTAATGATTGCTATGAAGTTATCCCTCTTATATTGTTTTAGTCTATACATGACTTCCCCGGGTCTACTGTCCCCTTCCCCTGTGTCCTTTAACCTTGAGGGCCTATTGTTCAATCATTTATTTGTTTTCTTTGAATTCCTTGTCAGTTACAAATTATTCAATCATTTATTTGTTTTCTTTGAATTCCTAGTCAGTTACAAATTATTTATCATTTTAGTGATAAGCTTGTACATGCTCTACCTTGTGCCCTGTCCTGTTTTTGTTTTGTGTCTGTGTGGGCTCTTTGCCAATGGTTTTTGTTGCTGGGTCGTGTGAGGGTTGCGTTCATTGAACGCCGCCTTGTTGATCTTGTGTATCATATTTTATAATGTTTTTATCTATGATACTTTTTTAAATTTATATGTTTATATGAACTTATGATAAATAGCTAAAATATATATCATTTAAAAAAAGTTATAATTATAAAATGCATTCGTAAATGCTATTGGTTTCTGTCAGGCAAAAACGAAATCATAAAGAAACATGCAATTATTTAATTACAGTCAGTTTGTTAGCCACATACAGACTCAATTATACAGTCATCTATAACTCAATAATGCAAAATGGCTTGCAAACGATATATGAAATTGTATTTACTGTATCATTAAAAGAGCTCTTAACGACTGAAATTTGTTATTAACAGAAATTTATTTATTTCCTTGCTATATTGTATATGTATAAAATGTATATGACGTATTTTTATGATAATGTGAACGATTCGGTAATAAACAGATAGTATATTTTGTTATTTTTTTCTATTATATTTTTATATTTAAAGGAACTTCACTGAAGTCTGACTTTCAAACTAAATTTAAAAAGAATTCTACACAAATCACTGTATAATAACTAAAACGGCAATAGATTACAATATTACCTACCTTTTAACAATAATTACGCTAGAAAATGCAGACTTGATATATTTACACATTTTCTCGATAAAACAGAAATGTATACACATGTATTTTCTTTGAAATTTCTGAAATAATGTAAGTTTATTTAAAACTATATTCAAACAAATGAAAAAAAAATCTGTTAATTGGGTGTAAGAAATTTTTAAAAAAAGAGTTTGCTTTAATGTATATTAAAAAGATTCAATTTCGCTATTTTGAAGTATTAGATGAGGACAAATATTTTGCATCGGAGATATTTTACTATTTTACAGGTGCAGACACAATGCATTTAATGTATCTCACTAAAAAAGCTAAGGTTGTTAACCAAAACATTCAATGTCATATGGCGACTTTACAAAACTGCTTCAGGCACAAACGAACAATCACCGACGTTCTGTAAGCTAGCTTTAAAGAACAGTTCATTCAGGTTCCAAGCACACTCTCATTTCTGAAAATTATATCAAATTCAACTGTAATTGTGTCATGTCTAGAATGTAATAAAAATTGTACTACAAATTAGAACAAAATGATGAAGTCACAAAAAAGAGAGACAGGAATGATCAGCATAAGAATGGGCTTGATGTAACACAATTTTACTCTAGTTTCACAGGTTAATGAGTCTTACATGCCAGGATTTACGTCTTAATATACTGTAAACCTGGCTTTATTTGACATTTCTGCTCTTGAAAATTTCTGAACAAGTAAACAAACTCACTTTAAGGTGCAAAAAAACTTAATAGGTAGCATAGTGACCCCCAATATTTCTTTCATAAATTTGCTTTCATGTACTACATTATATTCCATTAAATTCAAACATTAAGAACATTGTTTCCTTTTTTAAATTTTTCCTGGGTAAGAATTCGAAGATATGTTATCTTTCGGTAAAAGAAAGAAACTGACAGATCAGCGTCAAGTATGAAATTATGTACAAACTTGATTTAATTTTTTAAAGTGTCTTTGAAAAGGTAACCGTTTAATATAATGCATATAACCATATATCAATTAAGTTTATTTCACTAGTATTGGTTTATCAAATAACTTTCAAATAATAAATTTAACGACATTACTTGTTAAAAATTTTGTGTATAACGTCATGCATCATTGACACGTGACATTTTATAATATAAGTGATATAGCAGCACGCCTCAAGATTCTTAATAATTTTCATGAAACTTTTGAAAATGTATTAAAAAGTAATATGTTGTGAACAAAGAATATACTTTATAAATTGCAAACGGAACTTATAGCGAAAGCAAATTATCAAAAATAGGTAAAAATATGCAAAACAGCCCTTACTGCGTTAGTAACGCAGTAGTAATATGGTGATAAATATTGCAAAATCAATCATTAACTGTACATATCACGTAAGATTTTACTTATTTTTTAATTTTTGCGCTTATCTTAAATTTATATTACATATTTCTGAAGTTTGATTTTCTTGAATTATTTGTGTACATCTGGAGGCATGCAGCTTTAAATAGAATGGTATTGAAGCACCGGAGTGATATATTATTCCATATATATCTTTGGAGGGTATCCCGACTTGCCCGGAGAAAGACAAATATCTTCATGTATATGTTTTAATAGTATCTATTTTACTTCAGGTAAATAGGTATAACAATCTTAGAAAATGATTTTTTTCGTTAGTTTTATGATGTTTTTCTCTTCATAATGTTAGTGTCGACTGTAAGCGTTTATTTGAATCATTTCTAAAATAAAATAATGGCACATTTAACTACAATTATTAAGTATGTAGACAATAAAATATGAATGACCTTTCATTTAACAACAGATGAGAAACGATTGAAACTGTTATAAACAAGATCAAGAGATGTTTCATGAAACTTGAACGTGCAAAACTTTTTTTAAAGCATTTTACTTTATATATATTTGGAGCCAACCAATTTATAAAAGGATTGATAAATGAAAATAAAAATGAGAGGACTAAGTTACAGATCCTAAAATGTTATGTAAACTTCCAACTCAATTACGAATGTATACAGATTGTATTAAATAAACTTTTGGGAAATACATGATTTTGCGCAAATTCTTTTTGTAATGAAAGATAACCATAAGTGAAAGTACCATTGCCAACCTTTGTCATCAAGTTATAATTCCATGGCATTGTTTTGTGATCGTTCTTTCTTTCTTTCTTTTTATGTGCTTACAAAACACTTTTACATAAATGTTGGTCGACTTCTTTACGCGTTCAAATTGATAACGATTGTAATTAACAC